AAATGGATAAGTAAGAGCAGATTATTTGAGGTACACAAAGGTTCAGTGTGAGGAAAATTGAAAATTGTTTCTCATCTCTACTCGTGACAGATCAGAAAGTGAGGAGCTTTAGTGGTTTGAAGACCTCAGGTTCTTCCTTACACTGGGCGGATGCTTGTATTCTCAGAGCTTAGCCTAGCAATGGGAAGAAAAAGAATATAAGTATTCCATTCCCCTCCTTTTCTTTCGTGATAGCTGAAAATTATTAATAAAGATAGCTACATTAGCATATTTTAATATTAATAATTATTATGTCAACATTGACAATTCCTACTGACCTATGACATGTGAGGTACCATTTTGGGGGATTTAACTCATACAGTCTTTGCAGCACTGTGAAACACACACCCTGTTGTTAGCCATATCATTTTACAGATGAGGAAACTGAGTCTCAGAAGGCATAAGTAAATGACTAAGCATACATAGCTGGTAAGATCTGGATCCACAAAGTCTAAGTTCAGTGCTCTAGCTCTTAACTGTCACATTATACTGATTTTTTGTTCCATAGGCAATAAGAGCAGCAAAGATTCAGGGAAGGAAAAGCCTCTGAAGGTTTGATAGAAGAAAAGATGAATAACATAATCATAGTATTTATACTGGGTTTATGTCTAATTTAGGTTCTTAAATTCTATAAGATTTTTTTACAACAAAGGTGTACCTGTGATAATGAAATAACATTTGTTTGATTTCATGGTGGTGGATGTTGGTGGTGGTGATAGGAATTTACATATTTTTAGAAGCCAGGTAATAGGAAAAACTCTTAGTTAAAAAATCAGGACTTCTGAGCAATAACAACAGCTCTTTCAATGGCTGCATGTTCCTAGGTCATGTATATGTTTTATTCTTGGCTTTTTTCCTATGAAATATAGATCGTGTCCCATGTTCTCCTCTCAGGACAGTTCTCCAGGCAAAATTGTGTACTGGGTGTGAAAGCAATTTGAAAGTATAGAGCAGGGTTCAAATGAAAGGCTCAATCATTTTAGTTAGGAAGAAATATCCATTTATTAAAAATTATCATTAAAATCAGTTTATTAATAAATTATCTTGCAGTGGTTTCATTTTATAATTATGTCTTCCATTCTTTGTTCCTATATCTTATCCAAGTATATTGTACTTTTATAGAGAGTAGTGAGTTGCTGGATAAATAGATTTAACATCTACTATTTAAAACAACCACTACACAGTACTGGTCAGGTTAAAAAGTTTGAGTTTTGCAAATCTATTCTAAAAAGCCAGCTGCTCTCTGACAAGAGCAAAAGTAGAGTAAATTAGGAATGTGACCATAATGCAATGAGACTAATTTTTCCTTGTGATTCATAAAATTAATCTTTGTATTTTACAGTCATATCTTAGATATGAAGAGGTTTACCTAGATGTCTTTAATTAGTAAATCATATATAAAATGAAAACTGAGTTACTTTGCTGAGAATGTTATTATAAACAAAATGTGGCTTTCTGAAACATATGCTGTAAACAGGTAGCACTGAGTGAATTAGAAATTCTATTCAAAATAAAAAAACATGGGCAGAAAATATGGTATATGCCAGAAAACAGAAAAGAAAGCAGTAATAATGACTTCAAAGGTAATGGTTATGAACAGGATGTATCTGATATTAAGCTAGTTAAAACCAGTTATGCTAAATGTATTATGAAATAGACTAAATAGCTTAAAAGCAGAATTTCCATTTATATAATATGTTTACTTTAAGTTTCTGATCTCATCATTGAACAAATCCCTAAGTTTGTACCAGAATTATGTTCACATCTCTAGAAATTGGCAATAAACTATTTAGCAATACTCCTGGTTGAAAAATACTTTTGCATCTAAATTCACTTACATTGACCTAAATGGTAAAACTTAAGAAATGCTAAGAAGTCTTTGAGGGATATATCATTATGCAACATAGCACGAACATAGCTGTATGTTAAATGATGAAAACGATAATAAAACTATACTCCTTAGTTCTAACAGGACATGGGTTCAAAAATTCAAATTCTTAATTCTTCATACTCATTTCAAGAATTTATCATCTTATAATCCACTCCTGGAAAACATTTATTTAAAATACTATTATAAAACTAAAGTAGAACTTCTGGTGTTTTTTGCAGAACCATTTATGTCAAAAACATTACTGCTGAACTAAGGACTGGCAGGTTCAAGGTATCAGTATTACATACTTGGTATTAACATGCTCAGTGCTGCGTACACATATGTGAAAGGAGTCCATGTGAATGTCCTATGGCTTAAAATAGCACTCTGCAATATTGATAAAATTACATTGCATGAATTGAAAAATTCTGTAGTCACAACAGAAGTAGTCTGTGCCCAGACCCTCCCCCTAACTGGCAACAGTGTGGGTACACTGGTGGTGAACACAGGCCACCACTGTCGTCGTGGTGACTCACTATGTGCTATGACAACCGTATGTGTAACGACAGCCAAAGTGTTGAGGCCAGACTCCCAATTCTAGAATCATTGAATGTATGTAAAAATTAACAACCACAAAGGACTTTTGTTTATACCCAGTAATTATCAGGCAGTTAGTAAGTGGTAAGAACTGGGAGCATTGGATTCTAGGGGAATAGTGATCAGTTAAATGGCTGGTCCACACTGAATAGTGAGGAAAATGCGGGTATTCTGATTATCCCATGGTGAGTTTGGAGAAATGCAAGATTTCACAAGAAAACCTCACCTCAGAGGTTAAGGACATGTCTCTCTTCCTCTAATGTACCTAATGATCCACTATGGATTTATTACCCATCAATGTATCTAAAGTTTTTGCAAACTGGGCTATACCTTTAACATATATTCATTCTTGAGGTCATGGTTTACATAAGTCTATAAACGTCTGTGTAAAAGTAAAATATAATATCCAAGAGAGGAAACTTATGCTGAACTACCTTTGACTATCTCTCCTGGGATGGACATTATGCATAGATATGTATATACTCAAACATGCAACCACAAAACACATACACACACATATATTTTCTATTTCAGCTGTATTACTTTTTGAATATCTACATTGAACCCTCCCTAATTCTGTCACTAGTTGCTTATGCCTCCTCATAAACTTTTAAGGAAATTTTCTAAAATTTTTACATTATCAGCTTGGCATTTAATTGTTCTGCTTGAAGTGGTCTTGGTATCTGTGAGCAATTATCAATATTTCAAAAATCCTAAGAAAATTCCTCTGCTGTATTTCATAAAATGTCTCACTGGTAACTTGAAGGTTCCCAACTTGAAGTTCTCAGACCTCTAAGAGTCCACAAAGTTGTAATGTTGATTTTTTTTTGTCACCTAAAACAGCAATTTTATTGTCCATAGAGCTTAAAAAATATTTAGGAAACTAAAATAGTCCCAAAATCAGTCTCTAAGCAATTCTGTCTTTTCCACTGCTTCATTCAGAGCAGGGTTTAGAAACATACACCTACGTCAATAAACACACCAGACAATACATGCTTCAGGGCAAAGAGCTCTTCTCTTGTCCTGTTCATACATACCAACATCCCTCATCCCACCCCACCCTGTGCAAAGCTATTTAGGTATAAAACTGTTAATAAATCTTCATCCACTATATGAACAGTTACCACAAAATTAAATTTTTTCAGAAATAAATCTAAGACTACATTAATCGGCAGGACTCAGAAAAGCAGGAGGTTCTTCTAGGCCTTTACTTGATTTTTACTTCTTTAACTAAAAATGCTTCGATCCTCAGAGGCACACAGTGAAGTCAGAGGTCACATCAGATGTAGTACTCCTATGATACTTCCAACCAGTGTTAAGGGACATGTAATGCAAACTCTGTTGAAACACATTACGGCTCTAACCCTTCTTTGTAATATTTAAGTAAATAACATCTTTTTCAAACCCGTCAAAGTCAGAAGTCCCAATTGCTATTCAAATGCACAAATATCAAAAATAGCACCGGGTCAAATATACTCTTATGGAAGGGGATTTCTCTGGCCCCCAGGTGGCAACAGTAACTGTTTACTCCAGTGCACATGGTCTCGAGGAGTTCCTGACACACTGTACTGGTGTCTGATATCAGGCTCCTCCACTTTCAGGCAGAGAAGTGGAAATGAATCTCAGCACTCGAATAGGGCTTGTTTCACGCTGTGCTGCAATGCAGCCATACAGTCAGTAGAATACATTTTTCCCCCAATTTTTGTTGCAGTATGTATGTCACTTTTTAAATTTATATTTTAAATAAAAGCATGATAGAACATGCTTTTGTCTTATATTACATGCATGCAATGTGTTTAATGTATAGACTTGTAGCAAAATCCCTTCTTCATTATCTTCACAAAAACAGCTGTATGTGTATAAAATACATAATATAAAATATTAAAACCATAGTATCTAATATGGTTAAATATTAGGCACATTTACTTAATTATAGTGCCTAATATAGGCACTATAAACTAAATAGGTGCTTGTAACTACAGCATCACAGAATTACTACTGTACCACCATTTTCTTAATTTTTAAAAAAGTTGTAGTAAGGATCATTAATTGTAGATATATCATTATATATGTATTATCTCATTTCTCTTTTTATGTATTTAAATTTATATTTTAATTATTGTGAGTATAGACAGGGCACATAATTAAATCAGTGAGCACTGTTTAGACCTGTGGAAGCAAATAAAGATCATAAAGTATGAGCTGGGTAAAAGCACTTTGTGACCCCTCATTCAGCAAATGTGTTTGTCTTTCATTGACTATTAGGTAGTTTTCTAAAATGTCAATTAGTATTTATTTTATTTTTAATTTATCGACTACATAATATAGCCCACTTTGCAAACTCCGAAATGTTGATATGAAATTATTTGGCACCAGTTTAGGAACAACACTAGTTAAAGATGAGAGAGAAGAAAAGGGAGAAATCTCATTATGGCAGAAAAAGTTAAAAAGGAAGAGAGAGCCTTTCAAAAGCGTTCAAAGAACAATCACCTACCAGTTCTACTCGTCCGAAACCTCCGACTCCAAGGGTGTCAATGATGTTGAAATCAGACAGCTTCAGGTTGGCGAAGAAAGCAGCTTCAGCTTCGTATCTGGATTTTTTGATGCGAAAAAATGGAAATTTCTTAGAGGTGCAAACACGAGTACCACGGACAACTGTACTGGAATGACATGACTGTGGAACAGGCTTTACCTGCTTAAATTCCATCTTGCTTTTACAGTCTGTGTTTTCTCACACTCATAGTTTTTTGGTCCCAGTTGTGCAGAAAAACATAGATTTGCACTTGTTTTTCAAAGGAGAAAAATACAAAGTAGCCACTGCATGCCAGTCATGTGACTGATAAATCCAGTTAGCAAATCAAAGTTACATCTTGGTATTTTTCTACGCGTCTTCTTGTGAGCATGGATTGTCTGAGCTGTTCTTTTTTGATTTGGTTTTGGATTTTTTGGTTTTGCTTGGTTTTGTTTTTGCTGTTCAGATTTTGGATGGCAGTTTCTCATTAGTTTTCCTTATCCACAGGCTGGCAGTGGCTTCTATAAATATTTGCTAAAAGCAGCAAGATCATTGAGGTCTCTGAAGTGAGGTCACAGCCAGGTTTTATAAAAACAGATCCGAAAAGCTGAGGACTGATGTGCAAATATCTGAAATGGATGGTTTTGCAGGCATATTCACATTCCTAAAAAGTGTCTTCGCATCACTTATGTTTACCCACTAACTCTCAGCTAGTAATCCCAGGATCTCTAGGTTTGCGAGTTTCTTATAGAAGTGGTGTGGGAGCATGGCCTGGGCTCTGAAAGTCAAACTATGCACGCATGCAAATCTGACACATGCAAGTGGCCAAAATAAGCTTCTCACGATGAGACAAGTGAATATGAGCTGCTTAAAATATCTCCTTGTTAAAGGCCCTACTATTTTTAGAAAGGGCAGGAAGGCATAAAGATGAAGATGATCCTCCCACTCACTAAAGTCAGGTCAGGGAGTAATTCAGCTGTCTCAAAAATAAAGTATTTGAATTGCTATGTGTAACCCATGACCTTTGGCCAGGCGGTACCTGATTCAGTATGATGCTATAGATAGACATGATGAACACACTAGAGACAATGACACTAACACAGCTTGTTTATATCAATTTGCAGATAGAATCATCTTCAGCCTTGTCTGGAGTTGAGCTGTATAGCTTTTCAGCTATTCCATTATAACCAAACACAAATTTAGAGTCTCTACTCAGGAGATAGCTGAAACAGCTTTCTGGGTGAACTTTTTGACATTTCTAGTTTACAACCACAGTTCTAGTTTTTAACAAGTCAATTCTTAACAGATTCATGAGAAAGTAGAAACAGCATTGTTTTTCCTTATTGGAGGATTATGTGATATTAACTCCCTCTAATGAACCTTTATAAACAAGGCTACTGGTCAATCCTAATGGTATTTGGAGACTTCTCTCAATAACTACACAACCAAGAGATCAACATAGTAAATTCAGGAGATGGTTTACTAGAATGGAACATAGGCAGCAAATGTGCATTTCTTGCATTCCAACTGCATCACTACTTTTAGAAAATTAAAACTCCATCCCATTTAAAGGGCCAGCGGCAGAGTTTGTTCAAACAGGTGCTTTAAAAGGATATCTGTTAGGATTAGAACCCATGACAGTTTATACACAATCAAGCATTTGTTGATGGTCTAGAAAATCCAATTATTAATGAGATAATTTTTTAATAATATCCTATGCTTTTGCTGGGCTTAGAATCTCAGATATTAAGAGGATAAACTCTTTCCAGATACTTTGATACAATTTTATGTATATAGTATGATGTTATTACTTAAATCTCCTGAAGACACCTCAAAATCCTTACATTTGGGCTCTGTGAAAACAGGCTGGAAAGATCTCTAATGAAGTGTTCTTCACCCTTTTGTTGCACATCAGAGCTACCTGAGCATCTTTTAGAAACCACTTAATTTGGGTCTGCTCACAGACCAAGTTTATCAGAAGTCTGTGGAAGCAGTATGCCTGTGTTTTCTTAAAGCTCATCAGGTGACTCTGATGCACAGTAAGGGTTGAGAACCATAGTTTTAACCAACTGAAAAGCCTAAGGAGGTTCCAGCAACCAGAGAAGAATTTTAGGGTTGATAAAATGGTCCAGGAAAAACATTAGCTGTCCAGTGAGTCTGGGGGTGATGCATTCATGCCAAGAGTGTTGAGGAAAACTCTTTTAACTTGATCTTGGTTCCTGACCTTCTGGATCTAGTGCCATAGGAATAAACAATAGTTCTAGAAAGGCTAAAACAGCTATAAATAAGAAGAAAGATTGCTTAAAAAGACAGCTATAGAATGCAAAAGTTATAAGGAGCCTACTTAGTGTTCACATTTTATAGCAAAATCTTCCTGACTTTGTTTATATTCACTATCTGATTATTGATCATATTTTTAACCAATGGGATGAACATAGGAAATCTCCTGTTGAATAGTAGACATTTTCTTGGCAGCCATTAAAATCCCCTTAAATAAAAATAAAATCAAATAAAATCCCCTTAAATACATACTGCCCCCTACATTGGAAGCACCAATTATAGCTACCTAAAATTTTCATACGTTTTAATGAAAAGAGATTGCTAACATTGCAATCATACTTCACTAATCTTTGTTAATTACTTTGCTAACATGACTAGGTGAATTTTTAAAATACTACTTATTTGGGTGATTTTACCTAGTGACTGATGAGATACAATTTGAAGGGGCTTTGGGAAAATTGTGCCCTCGATCCTGTATTCTGTTCCTGTTTGCTTCAGGTCCTGATTCTTGGGGAAGCCAAACAACATAAGAAAACTGTCAGAGCAGTTTCTCTCTTCCAATCAAAGAGATGTTGTTAGTTGTTGAATAGTTTATATTTATTTTTTTCTCATTTAAATTCTCTTTAGGGACAAGAGTCCCATCTTCATCACAAAGACTCTGTACACTTCTCCTTTCTGAATTAATGACTTAAAAAAAAAAAAACATGGAACTCACCACTTGAAGGGACCTTTGTAGAAAAGCTGAATTATGGACAACTTAGTTTCACCAGGTATGTAACCACTTTTGATCATAACTTGGAGAGATATTTTCATTTTCTTTTAACTCATAATTAATGTAGATAATTTGAATTTATTAGTGATGTCCTACTTTCATTAGAGTTGATAAAAGTTTGAATGGGAAGGAGACTTAATAAATTTGTTAAGTAAGTAGCCATTGTTATTAAACAAACTTCTTTTGCCTGAGTGAAGTGAATGTGGAACCCAAATTCCTAATTTACTGCTGTGGGGTAGATACCAGGTCCAAGGAATTAGGCCAGGCTTCATGCAATTCTAAAATCCATCTGTGCAACAGTTTTTATGAAAGGGGCTATTGCCAAGTGCTAAGGAAAACACGTCAGTAAGAAATATAGTTACTGTTGTTTGTTTGCTTAAAATCTAGCAAGGAGTGTAAAGTATATTTTCTAATGATCCTTAACTTAGTTTGAGATACTGGTTTGTTAATATTTTGTTTGTTTGTTTGTTTGTTTGTTTGTTTTGCATGGGGCGAAAGGTAGGGATCCTCTTCCCAGAAAATTGACCCAAATATTGACCCTATCTGCATATAACATCAGAGAGTTTACAAACTTACAAAAAAGTTGATAACACAAAAAAATAGATATACAACAAAAGAATAAGTATACTGGATACAGGAGACAGAGATAACATGTTGTTTCTCAAACATGTCTGGCCAGGAGATTGTGCTGGGGCTGTGATTATCAGAATCCGCAGGCGATTGCTAAAACAAACAGGGTGCTCTTTAGTCAGGGAGACACTGAGCGTTTTCTTTGAAGGACTGCTGAAGAGGAACAAAGTTGCCTAGAATTTCACCTCCTCTTTGTAGTTCTGCCCCTACACCAAAGGAGGTCCCAAAAGCAATGAAAATGGAAACTTGCAGGTGTCAAGATGGTGACACCAAGACATACATACCTAGTGTAGTAACAAAAACAGTACAGGAACAAGCTCCACCTCTCTCTAAAACTACTATCTGTATAGTACTATCTTTACTTTCTTTAGGAAATAGACAAGCACCATTAGTTTTTTTCTACATCTTCCAATATTGCTAGCTTCCACAAAGCCAAGGAGTAAGAATCAGGAGTTCTTTATTATTCACTTCAATTGTTGTTCCATTATTGCCATGAACCTGTGAATTGACTTTGCCATCATTCCTGAACAACAGAACTGGGTTCCGTGCCTCATGACTGACCATCAATATAAGGAAGGGAACATCTTTCCCTACTTGTATATTGGAAACCAAATATAATTCAGCCCAGTCCAAAATGTATGGAGCTTAAAATTTTATGTTTGCCTTGATATTATAAGAACAGAAATCGCTCAGCATTATTTTACAAAGCAGACAATATTGTGCACCTTTTTAAAGTAAGGGCCAATGATCCAAAGAAATATAATTCCAGATGGGTTACAAAAGCCAGTAATTAGGAGGCAATGGAACAAAAGGCAAATGTGGTCCTGTTTCCTTTAATCCTGCTCATCTACAAGCCAAATTAACTTCAGAAGTCTACTCTAAGGGTCTGCAAGGAAATCCAAACAAATTAATTAGCATCTCCTAATCTACATACAAATCAGTTACCAAGGCTTTGCCTGGGCTCATCTGCCCTGGGGTGTATTTTCATGTCCTGCTGAGTTTAGTTTTGTCAGTTCTTGGGGAAATCTACAAAAATAAAATGTTTCAGTAAACACCTATGGCTTCTCATCTATGACTAAGTTTCTTATTCTATTGCTATAGCAGGTAAGATGAGATTCTATTAGACGTCGCTTCTAGATTTTAAATAATACAAGGGAGCATCATAGCATACAGACAAAAGCTCATGACTTGTGGTCCTGGCTCTTGTCAATGACTTTGTACTTCCATGCATTGCATTCTTCAACATTCTGGCCTTTGTAGAAATACCAACAAACATACACTTAAGTAAATTAAGTGTATAAGGTTTAAATCAGGCTCCTAGTTTACTTAAATGTTCACATAAATGCCTTGAAATTCTTTTTCACTTTTTGTTATCAAAGAGCACTGCAACCTGTAAA